CGGGCGGGCTCCCTCCGGCCGAGCCATGCCCGCGCGCGTGGAGTACATCGCGCCCTGGTGGGTGGTGTGGCTGCACAGCGTCCCGCACCTCGGCCTGCGCCTGCAGCAGGTGGACAGCACCTTCAACCCCCGCGATGAGAGTTACCGGGAGGTGAGTCCGCGCGGTGCCAGAACCGGGTCACCCCTCTCCCCCTCCCCAGCCTGCGGCTCTCCACACGCCTCCCAGACGCCACCCCCCTCTGCTGCAGCCCCTTCCCTTCACCCCTCTTCCTTTTGCCCCCGGGACCCTTGGCCCTCGGCCCCTCGCGTCTGGAAACCTCATGGGCCGGGGAAACGGTGGGAAGAGGAGGAGGGGCGCGGAAGCTGCCCGCGGGGGAGGGGCCGAGCGCCGAGGGGGAGGGCCGCGCCGGGCGGGGTGGGGACATTTGTGCCAGTACCCGGGTGACTCCTGCGCTCCAGCCGACGGGCGCCCGGAGCTTTCCTCCTTCCGCGGTTCCGAGACGACCTCTCGCTTTCCGGGGCCGCGCGGCCTAGGAGAAGTTTGGGGACAAACTGAGTGGAGGCTCCCGAGTTCGGCTCCGCGGCTCCCTCCGCCCAGCCGCTCCTGCAGGGTGGGGGCCGCCGCCAACCCCTCTTCCTGGGCCCCTCCCGAAAGGCTTTAGGGCTCGGGGAGACGGCAAGGGGTGACTAACCTGGGGTACGCTGAGAACCCCCAGCCGCTGCGGTTGTTTGAGGGAGGGAGGGAGGCCCTGGGTCAGCCCTATCCTGTATCAGCGTCCCCCGCCTTCCGTACACGCACGCCGTCTAGACCCTGGATTTCTGGGGTCTTGGCTTCTTGGCCTGTCACTTCCGCCCACGCAAACCCTTGCATTTCCGCTCTTTCCTTGCTCTTCTGGCCCTTCCCTCTGCGATCCCTGCACCCCGTGGGTGGGGGTTGCGCCCCAGACCTCCCCGCCCAGGCAGAGCTACAGCATCTCCCTGCCTTCTCAGGTCTGGCCGAGCCCCTGTGGCCCAGCTGTCAGTTCTCCACAGAGTCGAAGATTCAGGCTGGGCAGCCCCTAATGGGAGCCCATATGTTCAGAGCTATGCACCCATCTCAGGACTTTGAACCCTGGAGGCCTCAGCCTGCAGTGTCAAGTTCTCCCGCACAATCTTCCTGTGTGGGCCCTGGTCGGGCGGGTTAGGGCAGAGCGGGGGCTGGTCCTGGAGTCAGCTCTTTGCCTGCCAGGTCTTTCTCCTGCATGGCCCGGGATCCTGATCTGGTAGAGTATGCAATGCACCCTTGACTGGGAGTCTAATAATAACCCCTAGTGTCCCTGTCACCCCCTCAGGCCCCAGGCAGATGCTGCCTGCCCTTTCAGAAAAAGGGAGAATCAGAGCCCCTCCCTGCGGTGAGGCAGGGATCCAGGGGGCATTGCAGAGGGTTTGCCTGGCTGGGCTCCCTCATGATCTGCGTTGGCCCCTCCCTCTCCCAGAGCCCCACTTGTGGAAGTCAGTGTGCCTGAGAATGCTCCAGCTGGGGACGGCTCCAGGGACTCTTCTGCTCCCTGCAAGTGCATGAAGAGAGGCGGATATGATTTCAGAGACAGCTGCATTGTTGCGTGCGTGCGCGTGCGTGTGCGTGTGCGTGTGTGTGTGTGTGTGTCTGTCCCAAACCCTGCGCCCCAGATCCTGTACCCATGGTCTCCAACCATAGTTTCCTCCTCTCCACTGGAGGAAATCTAAACTCCTGCCCGGGTCAAGAAGACCTCACCCCTTGGCTCCCAGAGACAGCACCTGTCTGGCCAGCAGATGTGGCCGGCCGGGCCTGAGCCTGCCCCATCCCCCTTAGTCCCACAGAGAGGTGGCATCTGAGCCAGAGGGACCCACTCAGCCCTGCCCCTGTCCTGCCAGGGTTTGGAGCCTGGCGCACTGTGCTGGGTGTCAAATGACTCCAGAGGGCATCCCCTTCCCATGAGCCACTGCTCCTGGACAGCCGGACACCCACCCCCACCCCCACCTCCACCCTCCTTGTCCCACTTAGGCCTCCTGAGGGATCTGAGTGGGAGATTAGTGCCGTAAGCCAGGCCGGGATGGGGAGTCTGGCTCTGGGTGTTATTTAAGGCAGCTCCTATATTGATAAGTTCTCCTGTTTGTGACCATGGATCTCTCTTAGACATCCCCTTTCTCCTGAGTGACAGTCACTGCCAGAGTCAAGGCAGCAGGTTGTTAAGACCATGGCTTGGGCACCTTCTGCTGTCAGTCACCTCGGTGCTCAGCAGACTCGATTGGAAACAAGCTCTGTGTCGTACTTGGGTGACGTGATGACCGAGGCAGCGAGGGCTTGCTGGGGCTCTGCCATCCAGCTGTCTGGGTTGGAATCTCAGTTTTATCGCTAACCGTGTGACCACGGCAGGCGTCTCAGGCTCTCTGAGCCTCCCTTCCCTCACCTGCAAGTATCAAACAAGGTGTTCCGTGTAACATGCTCGGTACAGAGAGGGTCCCACAGCATGTAGTATGACCCGGTGGTACGAATCATCACATGGACTGGCCTTGACGTTCAGCAGTATGTCCAAGACATACTCCCCAGGGGATACGGAGGGAAGAAACCTACAGACTCTGATCAGGGAAGACGGGAAAACAACACACGAACAGTGCTGGCTTGTGACACAATGTGCCTATGCGTGTGTGTGCACGCGTGCGTGTGTGTGTGTGAGTGTGTACACACCAAACACTAAGTGGTGATGGAAACCTTGACGTTCAGCAGTATGTCCAAGACATACTCCCCAGGGGATACGGAGGGAAGAAACCTACAGACTCTGATCAGGGAAGACGGGAAAACAACACACGAACAGTGCTGGCTTGTGACACAATGTGCCTATGCGTGTGTGCACGCGCGTGCGTGTGTGTGTGTGTGTGTGTACACACCAAACACTAAGTGGTGATGGAAGCAGGCAGATGAAGGCCTGGAGGAGAGCTCGGGGAGGGGACGAGGCAAAGGGGGGTCTTAGAAGAGTGGGGAGACTGACGAGCAGGCGCCTGGCGAATGGAGAGCCCTGAGCCAATTCAGTTCCCAAGCCTCCCTGAGGAAGCACTCACTTTCTGGCGCCTGGGGCAGCAGTAGAAGCCCCCTGACCGTGTGTCCTTCCGCCCCTCCCCCACCACTGGACCTGACCCTGAGTCCTTGCTCTGGACCTGGAGAGGTCGCTCGGGTCCTGGAGAGGCCAGTGGGCTGAGCACCAAAGTGTAGGAGGGAGCGTGGTCCCTGCTGTGTGCCCGGAGGGAAAGCGCCCATAACGCCCGGCCTGGGTCTTCTCCCCTTTGGCAGGCGAGGAGATGAAGATGATTCTCACTTCAGAGAGGGCCCGATAAGCCAGTGGACATAAACCACGTGGCCAGTGTCTGGCACAGCAGAAGCTGCCACAAGCGCTGCTTAGAAAGGAGACCCCAGCTGTCCAGGTGTCCACTGGGCGGAGTTGGAGACAGCGGGAAGGGGACCTGGCACCACCCCTGGCTGTCTCCCAGAATAAACCACTATAGTTTCCTCCTTCAGCTGACCACCCCACCTCCTTGGGAGACCAGACGCTGATGAGCTCATGTGCGTGAAAGGTCTTAGTCAGCTCCAAAATGCTGTGCAAATGTTGATTGTTGCTACTGTCAACATGCAGGAGCCACGCGTGTGCTTCCTGTCCCCTAGCTCCTGCATCCGTAGACCAGCCACTCTGCTGGGACATGCATGAAGAAGCAGAGAATATGTTTTTAACTTTCTACACTTAGGCATGTATTTTCATGTCTGAACTTCAGTTCATAGACTCCCCAGAGAGTCGCAAGTGTGTATCCCCAGGCCAGAGTGGAGGCTAGACCCAGAGCTACAGGGCCCCCCACAACTGAGCTGGTCTCAGGAGGAAAGGCCAGGCGGGAGCCCACAGGCGGGATTTGAGAGGAGCCAAGGTTGGGATGAGGAAGCCCCATTCATCCAGTCTGAGCATTGAATCATAGTCATCAGATGATCACGCTGTCCCCCCAACCCCCACCCTTCCCCCAGAGGCCCAGGGAGTGGGTTCTTAACCCTTCCCAATCCGTGGGCTCCAGCTTCCCTTCCTCTGGCCTCATCCCTAGGCTGGCTCACTGTTTCCTGGGGTCTTAGGGTGAGAGGGTGTTCAAGTTGTTTGCCCCCTCCCACTCCTAGTGCGGAAGCCCCTTGGGGTCTAACTGCCTTCCCAGAGTGCAAACTGGTCACTGCTGCCCCCCGCTTGGGTCTTGGGTTTCTGCTCTGGGTTTCACATGACAAAATGACAAACCAGAACTAACCGAAGCTGCTGAAGAGGAGAGAGGCTGGAGCCTGGGCCCCGATATGGGGGCTGTGGGCACGTGTTGGGTGGGGCTGGGAGGTGATGGTGGCTGCAGGTTCCTCCTCTTCCATCCTCCCCCCTCCTACCCCCAAGCGCATGGGGATTTGCAGTGTTAATTAGCGGCAGGAAAATAATTGCCTCTTAGAAGGTGGCAGTCAATGCCAAGGGGGCTATGGGAGATGGTTCTGCTGGCTTCGGGGGCTGTGGGAGATGTTTCTGCTGGTTTCGGGGGCTGTGGGCGCGGGTCTCCGGGGGCTGTGGGAGATGGTTCTGCGGGTCAAGGGGGCTAGGGGAGATGGTTCTGCTGGTTTCGGGGGCTGTGGGAGATGGTTCTGCGGGTTTCGGGGGCTGTGGGAGATGGTTCTGCTGGTTTCGGGGGCTGTGGGAGATGATTCTGCTGGTTTCGCCTCTGGTTCCCTCGTTCCTCCAACTGCTTCTTCCTCCCTCCCCCACCTCCTCCCCCTCCTTCTTCCTTTCCCACCTCCTTCCCTCCCAGCCCCCGCTGCCCTTGTCCCACCCTTGTCCCCCCAGCACCGGGGGTGAACTGCTAACCGTCCCCTGAGGTCAGGTTTCCCAGCATGGCCTCCCCAGGGCTGGACTGCATCATCTGTAACCTAATTGAGGCCAGCTGCCCAGCTTGGAGAGGCCCCGGCTGCAGAATCCCAGGGCCCTGCCCACGGGACTGCGCTCACAGGAGGCCAGGAGGAGGCCTGAGTGGACCATAAGAATGTGAGACAGGGGAGCCGGGGCAGGGGCTAAGTGGGGTGGGCACGGGCTATGATGTGAAGAGGTTGAAATAACACCAGCCCATGTCTTAACCGCTTCTGGGAGGCCCTTCCTTGCTGGGCGGGGACACATGGTAGAGTCTGTGGGGTTTCCTGTTTGGGATAGATTGTGTGGGACTGTCTGAGAGGCAAGCTAGAAGTCAAGGGTAGCTGGGAGGAGGTCTGAATGTTAACCGGTCTCTACACAAAAAGTTTGTCTGAGTTTTTGTTACTTTTTTCCTCCCATTTAAGAGTAACTTATAAGAAACTGCACACTCTTAAGTGTGTACCTTAATGTGTGTGTGTGTGTGTGTGAAAGAGAGACAGAGAGAGAGACAGAGGGACAGAGAGAGACAGAGACCATCCCAATCGTATTCCTCACCCCCCGGAGGCTCCCTCATACTCCCTCCCGAAGGTACCTGACTCTGTCACTGCAGATGAGTTTCTCTGACCTTGAGTTTCACATCAATTAAACCACCACACTGTCTCTGCCGTTTTGCCTGGTTTGCATCCCCTGACATTACGCCTGTGAGATTCATCCAGATCGCCACGTGTAGCTGCGATTTACTTTTCGTGGCTGCATCGTATTCCATTTTATGACTGTGGCACATTTTCTGTTTCTGTTCTCTTGTCGGTGGACATTTGGGTTGTTTCCAGTGTTTGCTATATTCCCGTTGTATTAAGCGGCTGTGAACGTTTGTGTGTCTGTCTTTTGGGGGACGTGAGCCCTCCTTTCTGTAAGGTAACATTCAAGAATGGGATTTCAGGGTCGTGGGGTATGCACGTTGCACAGTGGTTTTGCAGATTGTTAAGGGGATCCCTAGGTTTTAGCAGAGGAGCCCAGGGGCCAGCAAGGGGGTGACTGGGACAAAGCAGGGCATTTCTGTCCACTCAGGGCTCTGGTAAGCGAGTCTGTTTGAAAAAAAGGTTAAGCTGCTAGGAAGTCACCAATCTATGCTTCCCAGGCTCAAATGGGACACAAATTGCCTGGGACGTATCTAGATGCATTTCTGATTCACTAGGTCTTGGGCAGGGCTTGGGGTTCCACACTGCTAACGAGATTCTGCATTCTAGATGTCAGTGTCGGTCATGGGTTGGGGAACTTCACTCACTTTGAGTAGCGAGGCTCGAAAGCCCCACCTGTCCTCGGCCTGGGGCTTTGGGCCCTCCAGCGAGGGCCCCTGGCTGGGCGCAGGAAGCGGGCAACTCCTTTGCGCTATCTCACCGGGCAGGGGCCTCCTGGGTCAGTCCATGCGACAGGCTTAGTGGTCCAGGCTGGGGACCCAGCCCTCGCCACACCATGAGGACCTGAGCGCGGTGAAGTGTACGGGTCCCCGGGCCTTCCCAGCTGCCTGGAGGAGGCTTACCGTCCGAGCTGCAGAGTCTAGGAGGCGAGTTCCTGGTCACACCCGTGACGTATTTATCTCCAGGTGAAGGTGAAAGCCACACTTTAAGTCACAGTCACCACCCCACTCCCAAATGAGCCATCTCTCCTGTCTTTTTCTGTGCCGTCCCCACCGCTTCGGCCATTTGTCCCTGAGGCTTGGAAGCCTGTTGTCCAGGTGATCAGCAGAGCAGCAGGCCGAGCCAGGGGTCTGAAGGCCACCGCGAGCCCTCACAGGGCCGAGCAGCCGAGCTGGCAGAGGAAGGGACGGGGAGCCCAGCAGGTGGCTTCGTTTAGTGTCCAGGCCTTGGGACTGCGGCCCCAGCCTCTGATTCTCACAGGTGTCTCTTGGTGTGTGTCTCCGGCACAAGGCTTGTCTCCCCCTTACACCCAAAGGGTCCTGGTGTCTCCCCGACTCTGCTGATCGCCACCACCAGCATGTGGGTTCCCCAGAACAGGCTCTGGCCCCTGGGGGTTCTGGGCCGGGACCCAGTAAGGAGCACGTGGGAAGCTGGGCCAGGCTGTCAGCTCAGGAGCCTAACCTAGAGCCAGGTCCAGCCCTGGCTGGCGGCCACCAATCCTGGTGCCATCTGGTGCCCATCTGGCTAAGTCGAGATCAGAGGGCATGCAGCGGGGCATGAGCCTCCTGAGAGAGAGCAGCTCCCTTCGCAGGACCAAGTGGGCCTGAGACGGCACCCCCCGCCCCCTTCGGAATTCTGGGCTTCGCTGCCACCATTGGCACCTGGGGGGTCATTGTCCTGTTCAGGATGCCATGAAAGGGACCCCACGGGTACATGTCCTAACATCGCCACCTCCTCTAACACAGAGATGGCTTCTTGTTTTTCTGGATGGACCCCAACACCTAGGACAAAGCTTGGAGGAAGCAGATACACCACGCCATCCCCTCCCAGCCCCGTCCCAGGTCCCACTCAGCTTCTGAGATGTCCTGCCCAAGTCCCGTGTCCTCCAGTATGCTCTGGCCCTCGTGGACGTCCCTCTCCCTGTCTGTCACGCAGCCCATCGCCCACAGCCCTCACCGTCAGCCGACAGCTCCTGCCTTGTCTCTTGAATGGTCCTGAGCGGCTCATTGGGCAGGGCCTGCTCCATGTCCCCACCTGGGTGAGTTGGCCACAGACCTGGGGGCCAGGCTCCAGCTGTTCCTCATCATCCACCCCCCTCAGCGGATCGCAGCCCATTCACTCGTCCTGATGCCCTCGCCCCACCCAGCCTGAGTGCCGGACACCTCGTTCAGAGCAGGGCAGACAGCTCATCCTGGTTCCTGCACCCACCGCCCCTGGGAGCTCCAGGCCCAGGGGCCAGGGCAGTTCCCAACCTGACCATTATCCCAGGGGACCGGTGCTGACACTAGACCTCTCCCTCTTCAGTCTCTGCTGTTCCTGGGGCTGGTGGCCGCCGTCTGCCTGGGCCTGAACCTCGTCTTCCTCACGGCCTACCTGGCCTGCGCGTGCTGCTGCAGGCAGGACAATGCAGTGCAGATCAAGCAGCGTGACTCCTGCTGTGTCACCTGGACAGCCGTGGCGGCCGGCCTCGTCTGCTGGTGAGTGTCCCCCGCACTGGGCGGGGCACGTCCGGCTCGGGGTGGGGTCTCGATATGCAAGAGAGCGAGGCGGCCCCGTGGATAAAAAGTGGGCCTGGCCACCCGCGTCATGCCGATGGTTCGCCTTTGACCGTGACAGCCCCTTCCTCACCTTCAGCCCCCCATTAAACCCTGAGCGGTCAGTTCATCAGCTTTCTGGACATGTTCTCCTGACGGAGCTCCAGGTACCTCGATGGGAGAACCTGTCCCCAGAGTGAACGTCGTCCCTTTTCTTGCCTGGCAACAGGACTCGGATGCCTGGAGCGGTGATGGAGGTCTCTCTAGTGTGCCCCATGCCCGCCCTGGTGTGGGCCTCTCTGGTCCAGCAAGGACACGCCTGGCCGCCCCATGGGTCACTGCCTGAGCAGGTTACTGGGTGACATTCTTAAGCAAAGGGCGTCTCCGCTTTCTGAGTCCCTGTCCCCTCCCGGCCGCCTTGAGGCTGCGAAGTCGGAGAAAGCCTGACGCAGCCCAGATCAGTGCCATCTTCTCGTGAGATCAACAGCCCTTCGTGCCGTCAGCAAGACTTCTTTGCTTTTGACGAAGGAGCGAGGATTTCTCACCCCAGGCAAGAGCCCACCCTGCTGAGCCGCGTCCTCGGACACGCGGCCCTGTCGTGTAGAGTTGTTACATTTTTCTTGTTTTCGTACCTACGAATTTTTCCAAAAGCCTCAGGTCCACCCTGAGACTTCCCGGGAGTGGTCACCCTGGAGGGGTAGAATCCCTCGTTGCTTAGTGTCCATTGCATCCAAGAACGCACCGCGGGAGTGACCCCACTTGTCTCGGCTGCAGGACAGGAGGCAGACAGGAAGCCGTGGACCTGGGGCGAGGACACCTGCGTTCTCAGGGCCAGTGAGGTTTTCTTCTCCGTTAGGACGTGTTCACGGTCCCATCCTGTCGGCAGCATAAGGATCATCTCAGCCAAAACATGGGCGCGCGCCCGAGGCGGCACCGCGGGGCGATGAAGCAGTGAGCTCATGGGCGGGGCCGGGGCTGGGGGACACAGGCCACCAGGGCGACGTCATAGTGTCGGTCCCTGCAGAGCTGCTCCTGCGAAGTAACCGTGGGATCGAAAAGCCTTTTCGTGGGACTGAGCAGCAGGAAGGTGGGCGGGAGAGGCAGGGCACGAGACAGACGCCTGAAGAAGCCGCACAGCTGGCCACGCGAAGAGCCCTCTTGTGTGAGCTCAGATTTTTTTTAAAAACACGGCGAATGACAGAAGAATTCTATGGAACAGTAAGAATGGCTTTGGAGGGTCAATTCTAATAAGTAATAATTAAAGAAAACTCAAAACAGATGGAGTGCGTCTGGCATGACTCGTTCTAGGAAATGCTACGTGTCATTTCTGCCAGGCAAGGGGGCGCTAGTGGTAAGAAAAACAGGCATCATTTGTGCCTCTTGCTGGAGGTCCTCGTCTGCTGGGAGAGAGGCACGTCCAGACCCCACCGGTGCAGTGGGTGCGGGGCGGGCACCGCCGACCTCCACTCTTAATAGTCACGCTAGGTGATTCTGTGCCGTGGTCCTTGGACCACTTCCTGAGGGCTGCTGAACTAGGGGTCAAGGGCGGCGCCTGGAAGGAGGTTGCAGCCTGGATCCCGTCCTGTTTTAAGAAACAGCATAAATGCGTGCACGTGTGCGTTCGTCTTTTCCCCCGGGATTAGTGTTTTGGATGAAAACTCAGAAGGCTGCTCAATGAACCTGCAGATGGCTCCCAGGGGTGTGGGTCAGATAAAATATGATGGATGACAGAGGCAAGATTTGAGATGATTTGTTCAGCCTGGAATGTGAGATGAAAACCAACTGGATGAAATTTCACAGGGGTAGATCGAAAGTTCTGCTTTTAGTTGAAACAACCACCACCAAAAAAAAAAAAATCAAGACAACACTGCAGCGGGGAAGAATCACTGGGCTTCACGGCAGATCCTAGGGAGAAAACCAGGGTGTTTGCCGGCCACAGGGTCAGTGGTGGGGAGGGGCGGGTCTCAGGACATTAGCCCGCTGCCCTGTGCCCAGAGCTGGGTGGACAGCCTGGGCTTGGGCGCCTCACTCAGGGACCGTGTTTAAGGGTGACATCGACCAGTTAGAGAGCGTTGAACCAGGGACGGCGATGATATCTACAAGGCTCTGCAGGACGTATGTCTGGCTCGGAGAGCAGGAGGAGCAGGGGTGGCATGGAGCCACACGGACATGCCCAACGGGGTGTCCTGCAGAATTGGAGCCTTATTCCGGGGCGCCCCAGAGGACAGCCAAGAACCAGTGGGGTCATGCTTTGAGGAGGTGGGCTTCGGCTCAGGACAAGGAACTTCCTGTGAGCTGGAGGTTTTCAGTGGAGCGGGCTGCCTCGTGGGGGCATGGAGAGCATGGATGGGCAGTCCCCCACTCCTGGAGGTTTCAAGAGAGACAAGTGTGGTTTCAGGGGACTCAATCACCTGCGTCAGTCACCTGGGGAGCTGTCAAAGATACAGGGTCCTGGGGCTAGGCCAGCAGCCCTCTACCCTTCAGAGGCACGGGACTAGAGAGCAGAAATATTGTCCTGCTGCCTAAATGAAAGATGCTGTGGAGCCGGTCGGGCACACCAGGGACAAGCTGGCACTGAACCGTCACCTCCCGCCCCCACCTGCCAGAACTTGAAACGTCATCCCCTCCCGCATCCCCAGGAAAGAATTCCTCAGCCAAAGTCAAAAACCTGCTCTCTGTGGATATTTGACCAGCTTTATCCATAATCGCCAAAACCTGGAAGCAATCAAAGCATCCTCCAGTGGGTGAATGAGTAAATAGACGGTAGCACAGCCGGACAAAGGAATATTATTCAGCGCTAAAAAGAAATGAGCTCTCAGGCCGTGAAAAGACATGGAGGGAACTTAAATGCGCATTCGTAAGTGAACGAAACCAGTCTGAAGACAGACAACACACTGTGTGACTTCAACCACATGACATTCTAGAAAAGGCAAAACGATGGAGACGGTAAAAAGATAGGTGGCTGCCAGTGAGTGGAGGGAGGGAAGGATGGATGGGTGGAGCACACAGGATGTTTAGGGCAGTAACGCGGCTCCGTGTGACACGGTAGTGGTAGACACGTGGCATTCATCGTACGTTTGTCCAAACCCACACAGAGTACACCACCAACAGTGAACCCTAATGCAAGCCCTGGACTTCGGTGGCACGATGTGTCCATATGGGTTCTTCAGTTGTAACAAATGTCCTACCCTGGTGGGGGCTGTGACCGTGGGGGAGTCGGGGCTGGGGGGCAGGGGAGTATATGCAAGGTCACTATCTTTTCCAGTCAATTTCACCGTGAACTTCAAACGGCTCTAAAACATAGTATATTTTTTTAAAAAAATAACTCTCTTCTGGGTTTCACCTCTAACTCTGTGTCGGGTCTCGCCCGTAGTGCTGCGGTGGGCGTTGGTTTCTATGGAAACAGTGAGACCAGTGACGGGGTGTACCAGCTCATCTACTCCTTGGACAATGCGAATCACACCCTCTCTGGGATCGACACGCTGGTAAGGTTCACGGGCGGCTGGCTGGGCCAGGTGCAGCCCAGAGGTCAGCGCGGTCAGAGCAAGGGCCCCGGTCAGATGCTAGGCAGCTCGGCCCCGAGGGGGGCACGACTCCCCGAAACCCTGCGAGGGGCCCTCTGGGCTCTGGCTTCCGGGCGCCACGAGTCCAGCTGGAGGCTCAGGGGGAGGGACCGAGTTAGGCAGGCAGAGCTTTTCGGGAAGGAAGGAGCTGCTCTGTGAGCCCTTGGCCTGGGTGGCCGAGGCTGAGAGGGCGGGGAGTCTGGGCTTTCTCAAGTGTAGACCTTGGCGCCCCAGCGTATTGTCACCTTTGCTAGAAGTGCCGGGACATTCTCTGGCCGCCCCATGGCAGCCCCGGGACCCCTACGAGGGAACCCCGATCCCACTTGGCCCAGCACAAGGGTGGCCCCAGCAAGTGGCCTGTCATGTCAGGCAGCCCCGACTGGAACATCTGGACATTGCTCTGGCACTGCCTAGAGGAGGATTCGACCTCATTTCCCTTCCTTCTCCTTTAAGCTCCTCTAAGGCCTTAATCCCTCAGCCCCTCGGGAGGGCCTCGCCTTAAAGAGCCAGCCGTGTGGCTCATGGGTGCCCAGGGGGGCCGGTCGTGGTGGCTCTGGCCTCAGAGAAAGCCTTTCTGGGGAGTTGAGGGTCGCGTGCCAGACCAGGGCCCAGTGTGCCATGCAGAGCTCGTCCATCTGCCCCTTATGTCTACTGGGACCCGTCCCTGGGGACTGAGAGCTCTCTGGACACTGGGCTGGGGTGGCTTTGCAGAGTGAGGGAGAGGACGCTGAGGCCAGCCTCGTGGGCAAACGCAGCCTGCCCAGAGTGTAGAGGCCTGGGGGAGCTCACCCCCACCCTCACCGCTGCCCTGGGGTGGGAAGAGGCCCCAGGATTACTGCCTCTGGGCTCGGCCTCCCCATCTTCTGCCTCCTACCAGCACCAGGGCCCCTGGAGGAGGAACCCGGGCCCAAGAGCAGAACCCCCTGCTGAGGGCCCAGAGTCAGGGCCTTCACTACCTGTGACCATTATGCAGAATGGCCCTCATCTCCCCCAGAGCCGTCCTGATGGGGACACTTGATTTCTTCTCGTCCTTATCCCACGGGAGGAGACTGGCATGGGGAGATGAGCTGGGAGCAGGACCCTAGGCTGGGCCTATCCACCTGAGCAGGCCGTGCGCTCCAGGGCCAGGTCCGGACATTTCTCGGCAGGCCCCCTGTCTCTTAAATTCCCCCATGTTCCCAGAGGTCAGCGCCTCGTATTAGCTCCACCGGTTTTGAGAAATGAGGACAGGAGCCCCAGGCTGTCATGGTGGTCCAGCCAGCGGGAGCTGCTTCCGTCCCCTATGACCCCCTCCTGCCTCCTCCGTGAGCCGGGGCCCCAGTCTGGGCTGCTCCCTCCCATGGAGAGGGCTCTGGGTTCTCATGGGGCCTGCAGAGCGGGTTTGGGCCCTGGGGTGGGCACTCAACAAAGCCATCCCGAGGGGTGAAGGCCATGTAGCAGGTAAATGATGTGAGATGAGATACTGTCTGTGACAGTACTCAGCAATCTATAAAGTGCCCTCCAAATGGGCCCGGCCGTGGTAATGAGTGCCATTATCATGGTGCTTTTATCATACATGTTGTTATAATCACCGTGAAGGAGAGAGGAGGCTTAGACTAGGGGGTGGCAGGGTGACAGGTCAGGTGACTCAGACCTGGATCTCTGTTCCAGACCAGAAGCCCCAGGCTTGTGCCTTGGTGGGAGGGGGCCAAGGCTCAAGGCTCAGGCCCGGCCGGCAGGCTTCTGGATGAATTACACGCTCTGATTTGTCGGGTCATTTGGGGGTACCCGGTGGGTCCTTTCTCTTGACCCAGTGTCCCCCATTGGTGCCCTAGTTGGGGAGGCCTGGCCTCCAGTTACCCTGGGCACCAAGCACACCTCTCACCACTCAGGGTCTCAGCCTAAAAAATCCACCCCCGGGTTGGAAGCTAGGACATTTCAGAGCAAGAACTGGAACCGAAGTACCTGGTCTCCACCCTTCCTTTCTGGGATCTGAGGTGGGGCCCCTTCGACTCAGGCCGGCTGCCCTTCTAGAAAACTACCTGAGGCGGAGAAACTTCCTCCTTCCCAGAAGTTTTCAGACTCCCCTGGAGGGCTTGATCAACAGCGAGCTGAGCTGGCCCCACCCCAGCGTTTCTGCTTCTATGGGTCTGGGCGGTGCTGAAAATTTGCAATTATAATGAGCTCCCTGCTGATCACCCTGATGCTGCTGGTCCAGGGACCACAACTGGAGAACCACTGCTCCATCCTACGGGACAACAGCTTCCACCACCTGCTAACTCGCCCCTGACCCCACCCCACCCCCGCTTGGGGAGCCGAGCTGCCCGTCTGTTTCCCAGAGCGTCTCTTCCCCATGGACCAGGGGTGGGGGGATCCTCACTTTGTCTCCCTGCTGGGAGCTCTGTCAGTAAGAACCGCTAAGGAATTGGGGGTGGGGAGGGGAAGCAGGGGGCTGTAAGTAGGCCGGCATTGTGATTTTTACCTTTTTATAGTTTCGTTTCCTATGAGAAGACATCAGGGGGAAATAGGACAGATGTTTGCTGATCTTTGTTTTTTCCAAGGAAGGATTTCAGAAAGTAGAGAAGTTAAAGATTCGGGGGAAAATGCGATCTTCCAGAAGAAGTTTGCAGATCGTTTTTGATAGCCTTTGGCTCTCAGATTCATTAGATATGAGAAAGGAATATGAAGATGTCACATAGCACAATCGCGCTCCTAACGTTAGCCTTTAATGATCGTGCGTTTTGGATCGAGGGCTGCAAAGCACTGATACGTTCATCTTACTGAATCGAAAAGGAAGGTTTATCAGGGTGATGTTTAGGTACCGAATTTACTTTTACATGGTTTTCCTCCGCCATGTGAAGCGACAAGCTGCCAAATCTGTAAGGTACAGGGTATCTGTAACCTCACCATCCTTAACCAGCTCGGGAGAGCCAGGAACAAGCCAGAAAACAGAACAAGCCTCTGACATTGAAAAAATAAAAACGGAACGGAGCACAGAGGGCCATTCTCTTTCTGGGACCAGGAACTCCCGGCAGTGCAGATGGAGACGTGACGTGGAAGCCCACTGTCGCTGTCCCATTCCCCTCATCAGGAGTGTCACCTACTCACCCTCCTGCTGATCTCCGACCGGGGGATGCGTGGCCCCTTCTCCTGTGTCACGTTATCTTCCTGCCGTGCCTGGGGGAGCTGCAGGCTGCCCAAGAGAGGATCAGGCGCCCTCCTCCTCCCAGTCAGTCGTGCTCGGTGGTTTAACGTGACAATTTCAGAACAGCAAAGCCTTTCTTCTTGCTTCCAGCACCCCAGCTCAGAGCAGGCTCCGAGGGATGTGCCTGGGACTCCCAGGCTGTGTACGTGGGTCCCATGGGGACCCTGTGTCGGGCTGTTTGAGCACCCTTTCAGTACCAAGCCCTGCTGGCATTCCTTGTTTGCAAGCCAGTGGCGGTCACTGCCATCTGACCGCCTTCACCCTTTCCTCTCTTTCTTTGAAGAGCAAATCGCTTTCTTCGGGGTCTGCTCAACCCCAGGCCCATAAGGCTCAGTCAGGGGACAGGCGCCTGTCCATCCACCTGGCAGGACAGACGTGCGGGGGAGGGCATGAGCGCACAGAGAAGGCGCCAGTGTCCCCCCTCCACGTGTCCAGGCCTTTCGGAGGCAGGATGGAGCCTGTGTGTTATTCAGAGTTCCATTGTTCTGCTTCGCTGGGGCCCAGGAGCTGTGAGCTGTTGACAGCAAGGCCTTTCTCTTATGAGGCATTTAGAAATCCTATCATGGGATCAAAAGATCAGGTAGCAACTGAGGAGCTGTTCAGCTTAAACGTTTTATTCCTCACCCGAAAAAGGAAGTCATAATCCACAGTGTTTAAAGTTTTAAGAGAATCTGTGACAACGTGCGTGTGTGTTCCTTTGTTCATTTGCTTCCCCACCTGGGTCTCTCTTTAGAGTAAGGCACTGGATCTCAGAGGCCAGGGCTGGTTCAGGCCAGATCGGGGCCTGCCCCCAGGATGGGGGGACATGGGGGCCGGGTGGGTCATGAGGGCCTCTGTCTCCATCCTCCCTCTGGGCAGCAGCCTCCTGAGCTTTTCAGGGCTGGGGACCGCACGCACGGTACACTCGCCCAAGCCCGAGCAGCCATCTGCTGCTGGCAGACCTCCTCCAGAGTTAGAATCAGGAGCTGGGCCTCTCTGGCTTCCTCCCACCCGAGGGCCAGACTCACAACCGCAGCCCCTCCCCAGGTGTCCGGAACCACCCAGAAGATGAAGGTGGACCTAGAGCGGCACCTGGCCCGGCTCAGTGAGATCTTTGCCACCCGGGGCGATTACATCCAGACACTGAAGTTCATGCAGCAAATGGCCAGCAACATCATCGTCCAGCTGTCAGCGGTGCCCGTGTGGAGGGAGGTCACAGCCGAGCTGACCGAGCTGGCCGACCAGACTGGCCATGTGGAGTACTACAGGTGAGGGGCAGAGGGGACACGCTGGGGCTACACCAGCTCCCTTCATCCAAGCCTGCATCTCAGGGCCAGAAGGTCTTAATAAGCCATTAACTGAAATCCAAGCGCAAGGTCTAATGAAGGTCACTCTGGGGAGAGCCAAGAAGGGAGGCAGCAGTCTGGGCTTTGGGTGGCTCCTGGTTAAAGGGCGACATGCACTCCAGAAGTGTCACCGTCAGTCACGTCACCGCACCTAAGGAAATGAGTCCTGGTGAACTTAACAGCTCTTTGCATGGTCCCCACCTCACCCCACCCTCCCACTGCCAATTCGTTGGTTCCTCTTCAAGCCATTTGCAAAGGTCAGAGCCTTTATCTCAACATTGCACAATTTAGTCTGATTTTCTGGATTCAGTTCCCTTTTATGAGAAAGTCCCACCCCAGGCCAAAGTAATATATCTGAGTCTAAAGAAAATGTTCCGGTGGCCTTTGGCCAGAGCTCTCCCTGCCATGGGCTGTCTTCTTCCCCACGGTAGGAGATGGCAGGGCTCTGAGACACATGAGGTCCCCAGCTGTGGACCATGCTCCCCATCCCTCCCCTTCCCCGCCAGTCTAGTCCCTGCATCCCCAGGATGACACACAGACGTCTGCATCAGAAAGAATTTCCGTCGAAGTTCCCACCAGATGAATGCTCACATGTGAAAGTGCCTTTCTCCCAAGTGACGGAAAAAACTGCCAGCTCTAAGGACTGGCTGTGACTCGGGACCCAAACCAGTGGCATCTGATGAGTCCTGTGTCATGAGGGCCATTCATTGCCTGAGCCTTCAAAATCTTTTTGTCATGGGGGCTGGGGAAGGTAGAAAGTGGACATCCCCATTTCTCTCTGAGTGGACCTAGCATAGGGCCATGTATATGTAAGGGCCTAATGGGGGCATTTCAATAATGATGATGAAATGAGTCAGGATTTATATATCGAAAGGGGCTTATTTTTAAGGTGATTTTATTAAAGACGGGAGGTGCCAACTGCACAGCAGCTATTTCAATCTGGGAGATTGAAGGGGTCCCCTAGGACCCCATCCCCCATTCCCACCCCTTGTTCAGGGCAAGGCAGAAAATCCACGGTTAGCACCTGTGGCTCCTGGACACCGACTCAGACTGGTCCCTTGTCTTCATCTTCTGCTGTTTGTTCGTCCCTTCTCTCACCTGAGCTGCCTAGACCAAGGCTTTATTTTATTCTCGAGCGTTATAACCAGCCTCAGGGGCCAGGTCTCCTCTGGCCAGCCTCCCCCTAGCTTTGCTTTCCTGCTTTTTCTAGAGCATATCCATCCAGCTAAGCAAATATTCTTTAGCACTTTTATACAGGGCCTGGCTAAGTGCTGGAAGCAATAAAAAGCCAAGAGATGACCCTCTTGGACAGGCTTCTAACGCGTATAACCCAGCAAGAGCATCAGCAGAGGCTGGATATGGGAGGAGCTGTGGACGTAAAGGCTGGAGCTTCCAGAGCCAGCTTCTTGGTCATCCCTGGGGTCCTCTGGGAAAATGCATCTGCCTCGCAGAGCTGTTTCCAGGAACTCCTCATAAGAGACTGCCGAGCGAGGCATCGAAACAGTGCTGGAGAGTGAGTGAGAAGCCGCGCTAACTCGATTTCCTGGTGTCGTGGAGAGGAGACAAGTAACGAGACACACGTTTAGGTTTGAAACGTGAAACCAGGACTTGGAGAGGGGCCTGGTGGCTGGCGCGTCTCCCGTGGGAAGGCTGGGAGAAAGGGAGTCTGCAGTGCCTAGGCCGGCCTCTCCTGCCACGGGCCTCCGTCTGCACATCTGAACGAGGTCCTCACAGCAGATGGTCCCCGAGGTTCCTTCCAGCTCTGACTCTGATTCTAAGAAAACGGGCTTTTTGGTGGCCTCGTCCTCCAGGAGGGCGGGCCCTGCGCTTTCCCCAGAGCCCCCAGCTCCCTCCGTCCCTGGGAATTGTGGAGTCCTCCAGCGAGGCTCTGTGCAGGGGTCGATGGTTTTGATCAGACTCTTTGGGGGGCCTCCTTTCTCAGAGGCAGAGAGAACCTCGCTCGGCTGCCAGGTGGCCTCCGGCATGCTCCCTCCCCTTCAGAGCCCCTCTGTCACTTTCTTCCAGCTCCATCGCCCTCCTACCCACACTCCGGGCTCTTTCTTACCCTCTTTAAGGTATCGGTGAAGCAGGAAACCTTTGCTGGAGAGGAGGGGTCGATGGATTTATTTGGCTCCCGCATGGAGAAAAATAATGATCACACATTTCTCTTTTGGGGGGACTGGAGAAAGTCCCTTTTCTTTTCACCAGCTCCCCTCCCCCCACTGCTCAGACTGGCCCCTCCAGTGCAAGGCGAATGGAAGTGGCTACTGGGTGAGGCTAGTGTTGAGTTGGGACTGTCTTGGGGTCCTGCTCAGAAGGGAAAGAACAAGGTTGCTTTGCTTGGAGTCTTCCCAGCGCCCTTGGCATTCAGGCGCTCCAGGGTCCCATGCTTTGGAGGAGCAGGAGAGCGGGGACCTCAGGTCCGTGGCTGCCCTGCCTTGTCCCCCGTGCGCTTAGCGGTAAGGGCTCCGGCTTCCTGTTATACGTGTGGAAACTGGGGCTCAAAGGTGTGCGGCAGCTGGCCAGGGTCTCCCAGCTGCCTTTCTGGGGATGGGGGGGTCAGGGGTTGTGGCTGAAGGTCCGTGGTGCCCTGGGATGATGAGGCTCCCTGCCTCTCCCTGACCCCGCCCCCTGGTGGTCTGGGAAAGAGCCCACTCGGAATCCAAGTCCCAGACCGCCGGGAGGGAGAGGGGAGGCCAGGGCGAGATTCCATCAGAGAAGTGGGCGCCTTAGGGGCTTTCTCGGATCCGTGGATATAAATGTCAGGCCTTGCCTGGTCCGATGCTGTGTGAAGTTCTCCATAGTCCCATGTGGGGAGTGGCAGGTAGAGTAGATGGCACAGAGAGGGAACATTTCCATCACTGCAGAAAGTTCCAGTGGACAGCCAAGAGAGGGGGAGGGTGATGCCTTTGTCCAGGCCAAAATGGGGTGCAGGCCTTGGAGCCTCTGGGGGGGATCTGTCCACCATGCACGCCGGTTCTTCCTGTGCAGGGGACACGCCCTCCTCTAGTCTGCTCATCTGTTGTTAACGAAGGGCCAGTGACCCCGGGGGGCTCTGCTCCCCCTGACCACCCCTACCCCTCCCGCCAGGTGGCTCGCCTACCTCCTGCTCTTCATCCTGGACCTAGTCATCTGCCTCCTCGCCTGCTTGGGACTGGCCAGGCGTTCCAGGTGTCTCCTGGCCTCGTGAGTAGCCCCGCCTATGGGCCTGGGACAAAGCTCTGGGCAAGCATGTGAGGTGACGGTGCCACCATCAGAGAGGGGTGAGGGCCTGGCCAGGCTCGGAGGATGTGGTGGTGGCCACGGCCCAAGGTCACCTTCTGCTCTCTCCTCAGTACCCAGTCAAGTGGGGACGGCAGCCACCGGCTGGCCATCTGGACATAAAGGAAGGACTGGGGCTTTCCTCCACGTGTCCCCTCCTTCCAGGGCCTTCCCCTGCTGAGCAGCTGAACAAATGCTGCCCAAGCGTTAGAGGCTCCTGCCATCTGTAACCAGCTCCTCCTTAGCTCGCCCCCTCACGGCCGTGTCTTTTTGGCCCAGGGACCTGTGCTCCAGGCATTGGGTTCCATCTCTCTGTCCTCGCCATCAGCAGGGCTGATGTTAGGGCAGAGACTGAGACTGCCTTTGGGGCCACTACTGGAATCTCAGGGGCCAGAGAAGGCACGATCATAGCTGAGCGGAAGGGCGCTAACGTCGGTGGGGTGACAGCTGTCCTGGAGTCCCCTGCCTGCCAGCCTTTGCCCAGACCCCACTGGTGGCTGCCTCTCTCCTAGGATGCTGTGCTGTGGGCTGCTGGCCCTGCTCCTCAGCTGGACGTCCCTGGCCGCTGACACCGCTGCAGCAGTGGTGAGTTGAGGCGGGGGGTAGGGTGCGTGGGACGGTGGGTGGTCTGCCCAGGACCATCTCTGTGGCAGGTGGTACATCAATGTGTCTGTCCTGTCCAGAGACCCTAAAGGCAGCGTGAGTCCCTAACCTAGAATCCCAGAATCCCACAACTGAAGGGGCTTAGATCTTCCCCCCCAGCCCCCTTGCCCTTCAGATGGGGACACAGGCCCAGGGAAAAGAAGAGGCTTGCCCACGGTCTCGACGCATTTAGGGCCAGAGCCAAGATAAGACATCTGAAGCCTATCCCTTCCCCACCCACTGGCCCATTCCCAGCCACCTGCTTACTTCTCGTAAGGACATGTATGGATGACCAGGTGACCCCTCTCTGGGTGTGAAGAAGTGACTGGGTCTGGTGGGGATGGGTGGGATTGGAACCTGGAGCCCTCTGGCTTCGGAAGCATACTCTTCGGGCGCTGGGAATGTGGATGCGGCATTTAGCTTGCCTCCAACCGCGGCGCTGGGACTCACGCACACAGGCTGACACACAGCGGAGCACGTTTCTGCATGTGGGGCCTCAAAATGTTACAAACAAAATCAAAAAAACACAAGGTAGGGGAGCTTCCTATGTAGATGTTTGGTCTTTGACAGACCTAACACTTGAGTTAAGCTGTGCGCATGAGTCATTCATTCATCCATTCATTCATTCAGCTGATGTTTTGCTCTATGGCACTCAGTGATGCCAGGTGCCTAGAGAAGTGAAAACCAGGGCATGACGTTCGCTCTTGGCTAAGTACCAGCCCGCAGAAGAAAGACTAGTATGCAGACCGTTGCAACTCCATGTGAATTGTACAGTGGAGGTGCATGCTGAGTGTTTGTGTGTGTGTGCACGCGTGTGCGCGCGCGTGTGTGTGTGTGGTAGAAGGGGCAGGATTTGCCAGGGGATTTCAGGGACCCCCTAGCTGATTCGAGGGCCACAAACGAACCCCGTGACCTGCATCTGTTCTGCCCTCGCTACCTAGGGGTAAAAGAATGGGGCTCCTGTTGGAAGCCCTCTCCCCAAACTCACGCCTTGCCTAGTGATCCGGGGCTGACCAGGAGCTCTGGCCCTGGACACGTTGCCCCCATGATGCCCGTGGAGTGAATGGATCTTTCTCTGCTTGGCTCACGGCAGCTTTCGGCAAAGCTTGTCCGGAGGGGAAGGGGGCTGGGCAGGATGAAGAACTGGACAGGCATGTTTCCGCTCTGTTTCCTCCCCCAAGCCCTGCAGCGTCCACTTTGGGCAGGATGGAGAACTGGACAGGCATGCACCTACGTCCCGAGGGCAGGGGCCCCTCCATACACAGGGAAGGGCAGGGGAGGAGGGCCTACATTGTGCTCAAAAGCATCTGAAGTCATCAGGAGCTGGACGGCCGCCCGTGGTCCAGGGGAGTGGCCGCTGGCCAGAGCAACACACACAGCTGCCTGGCCGACAGCCTCTCCTCCGGGAACAAATGTAAGCACAGGGAAACTCGCACATGGTGTATTTTGTGGGGCCCCTGGAAGCAGCAGCGCGTCTAGCATCTAGCTTGCCCCTGTGAGCAGCTCTTGGGGAGACAGCCTCCTCCAGGCCCCTTCTCCCCAGGCTTCAGTGAACCAGGAAAGCAGGGGTGATTGAGTCTCCCAGCTGGGTGCCCTGGAATGCAAGAGAGCCCAAGAGAAAAGCCATTTCCCTAATTCGTCTAGTCAGGCCCCTGTGTGACAGCGTGAATGGGCCTTTGATTGGGCTGCGGATACTGCTGCATTTTAATAGGAAGCGGGGTGAGGACAAGCTGGGAGGGGAGGGAGGCAGGGCGCCAAGGGTCACTGTGGGGAGCTTTTGTGGCCTAGCTGCCCCGGCCCTCTGAGGCCTCCTGGCTGTTTTTTTTTTTTTTTGAGAGCTGTGCAGCCGGCACACTGACACTGTGCCCGCCCCCAGCCCCCGCTGCCCATCCAGGGAGGAAAGACCTCCCTGATGAAGGAGCACGGGCCTGA